GACCGATGAGTCTTATGTGACTGATGAGACCGATGAGACTTATGTGACTGATGAGACCGACGAGACAGATAAGACCGATGAGACTGATGAGACTTATGTGACCGATCGTTTACGGCGACAAGTACTACTTAATAAATAATCTGTGGTCAGAAGCCAAAGTTGAAAATATGTATATATTGTTTTGCTAATTCTTATAAAACTCATGCTGCAGCATTTTGAATCAAGTGGAACATCCAAATAATAAAGAACTGCAATCATTTATTCTAACTGTAACAAATACGTGGACTTTTTCTTCTTTATTGCTCTGGGACAGAATGTTCTGATTTTTGGGAAAAATAGCTCAGATGAAAGACAAAAGTTTTAGGAACCGTCTTTATGTGAAAATAACTCTGTGGTTTCTCCCTGTGATACTGGAGGCCAAGACAATGTCATTTAAATCAATTAAATGGCATGAGAGTTTGTTCCTAATCAGATGTTCAGGTCCAAAGACAGCAAACCTTTGTCTGGTCTGAATTTAGGAGTAAACATTTGAAATGACATTTTGGCCCCTTATCTTTAAGGCATGCTTAGAGTCTAATCACCTGCTCAGTTCAATCTGTTTTTATGGATAAATGTAGCTGAATGTCGTCCACGGAGCGTGTGCTGCCAGAAAACATGGAATAATAAAAGTATATATAAATAAAATTCAGGAGTTGAAGCACAGATCCCTGTGGAACGCTAAACCTAGTGCATATGATTTGTCATTTACGTGAACAAACTGGGTTTAAACGTGGCTTGGCGTGGTTTGTTTTGTCAATAATAAATTGGTCAAATGTAACTTATAACGCTCATTATATGAGACCAATGTGAAGCAGCATCTTTCTGAGGTACAGCAGGAACATCAGGAACAGTTTATGAGAGAAAAGATCTTTCTAAATTTGGCAGAGTGAACCGCTCATCCAGGCAGACAACAGTGATTAGTGATCATGGTCACGTGACAAAACCTCTGCAGGACGTATGAGTTTTATTCACTCCACTATCAAAGAATTGCGTTAATTTTAAAAACCAAGCCAGACCATAATAGTTCCGATTTGTGAAAAAAAAAAGATGACAGAAGGATTTGAAACAGACACTTGTTTTTATTTATGACAGAACAGAAGAATTCAGTTGCATAAATATATAAATACTGCACTGAACTGTGTGGGTTTTATTTTTGCTTGCAGCAAAACCATCCAGTTGTTAACTGACGTTATAATGTTTCTTCAGATTCTCTCTCCAGCCAGAGTCTTCCGTCTTATTTATTGGAGGCCTGAACTCTAAACAATAAAGCATTTCTGATTTGAGACACTCGCTCAAAGAGGAAGAGCTCAATAATATGTGGATATTGCTGTTCTTTAAAGCTTTTCCTCACAGCTGGTTGGTGACGATGTGTCTTTAACATGGTGACAAATAAATAGATAGTTTTAGTTTTGGTCTCTTTTGTTGGGGCTTAAAAAAAATACTTTGTATTCATCTAAGGAGATAAAGATTTGGGGCAATAGAGGTGAAATTTGACAACAAGTCCACTTTTTTTTTTTTTTTTTTGCTAAATCCAGACCAGACCCTAAATTAAAGTAATGACAAAGAAAAAATGTATTTATGTGAGAAAGATTGTAAAGACCCACAAGTCCTTTGTGATGGGAGGCAGTGTTTCATGCATTCATTTGATTGTGTTTGTGTTGTGATAGAGTAAAAAACTCAAAGATAAATGATCTTTTTACACAGAGAGGAGACGTTTAATGCCATTATAATGAGGGTTTGTGTGAACCGCACAGGGCTCCAGTGTTTAGACAGTTCCTCTCCACCAGAAGGCAGGAAACCACCGGCTTTGGACGATCGGCTGATAGTGAAGCTTTGTTCTCCAGATGGGTCGAAACGGTTCATCGTGATCTCGCAGAAGGTTTGGACGAGTTTGTTTTTACATCTAGATCTCTGTTTTGTGTTACAGCTCAGCTCTGACCAACGGCCCCAATGCAAACCTGCTCACCATCCCCAAGCAGAGGTCTTCCTCTGTTACTCTAACATATCATGCCGGGCCCAGGAGAACAGGTCAGACTCCAAACTCACACTTTTAGGCCATTAAAAATGCCTTTTTTACACAATTATATAAATACAGTTTATCGTGGGGGATCCCTGAAACCCCCCCTCGATATGTGAAAAACTGTGATTTAGGAATAGTAGTACAAGTATTGCAATATTCTAAAGGCTAAATGCTCTAAAAGAGCACATGTCATGATCTCAGCTCTTGGCCACGCCCACTTATCTGCTGCAGAACTGAGATGGACAGAGGAGGAAGTTTGTCCTGCAGGGTGGGCTGCACACACGTGCAGCAGGTGCTAAATAATTTAAAATAATTTATTTTAAATAAAAATCTCATGCCGATCGTGCGGCTCATCCATCAATCAGCCAATTGGGCGTCATGTCCAATCTTATTTTGAAAAACCTCGATAGAGCGAGTCCATGAAAACAACCTGAAGTAGCGAGGGACTACTGTACATCACAGTTGAGCTTTTTTTTGTCTGTAGATACAAAACTGTCTCTCATTACTCTGGGAAAATAACAGGAAATATGATTTGTAGAATATTGACATTTTGGTTTGTTAAAGTAATTAACATATTAAAATATTTGAAATATATGTGTTTTTTTTGTCAAACTGGCCAATGGTAATTTATTTACAGTGCTGGTACATGGACTTTTAGTTGAAAGGGTATTTGGTATTTATATCTAGATTATAAACCTAACTGTGAACCTCAGATACGTATGTAAAATACAAAGAATGTTAAAGGTTTTTCAATAAAGTAAAACATGTTTCGAGCTTTCCACGCTTTATGTTTTGTCATATTTTGTTCTTTATTTGTCCGTCCGTAGTTGAGTTATTATACGAGTGTTGCAACACTTAGTACTAAACTTTGTATTACAAAAGAATTTATACAAAGTCAATGTTAAAGAACAGAACAATGATCTGTTCGTCGTGTTGAAATTTAAAGAGAAGGCCGTTTAAAAAGAAAAAGTTTTACTTATGTATAATTTTATAAATAATTAGCCAAGTTTTTGATTTAAGCTCTAGTGATCGTTAAAGCAAATTGATTTATAAAGTTCTTGAGTTGTGTTTCAGTACGTGGAGTGAAATTAGGGAGCGTTCTGAATGAAGACCTGCCTATTTATTTAGAAATTATATGACACATAGTGGACTAAGTTATGAGTGAGAATAACTAATAATAAGAATAATAATTAATAGTGACGTTATGAAACTGCTAATCGTTATCACGTAAAGCTGCAGTTTCTTTTACACATTTTTATGGAAATAAACTCAGATATAGATTACCATGTGATTTTGTTTTGCAGTAATTTTGTATTAAATTTGTGTGGGTTTTTTTTGTGAAGATAAAGTTTAAATTTTTTAAAAGTCACGTTAACTTGTTAATGAATTAAACCAAATGTTTTTCCCTCTCTGGGCTCTTTATCCTCACTAGGCGCTTCACCCAGCCTGAGCCCAGTCACCTCTCCAAGCCATAGTCCTCCAGCTCTGAGCTCAGGTTCCTCATCGTCCCTCGCCACTCGACTGCCCGTGGAGTTCCCAGACACGGCGGATTTCCTGACGAAGCCGAGCGTCAACCTGAACCTGCACAAGCCTTTGGGCCACACAGTCAGCGCCACTGATTTCCAGCAGGCCTTCCGCGGTGCAACGTTCCCTCTCTGCACCAGGTGAAGCATGCGGCACCGAAGCCTTGTGTCATCTGTCTCCAAGTTTAGCCTTTCTTTTGTTTTAGTGCGTATATTAATGCAGCCACTGGAACCATGTCTGTGTTTGTTCGTCGTAGCTGTGGTCGTCAGATGCTTAAGGGAGTTTCTAGCAGCGACACAGGAGAGTCTCACCAATCATTTATCAGTGACGCTCATTGCAGGCGCTCAGGTACAAACACTTACTCCTGTTACACTTTATAGAGTGGAATGCAGTCATAGCAGACAGTCTTGTTCAGTGATCCAGTGGAAACTCTTCTGTTGGGACTTTCAAAGGTTAATGCTGCCCTCTGCTGGACGACCAGAGTACTGCAGGTTCTATACACTCAGGAAAATCACTTTTCAGAATGTGCTTCTTTAATTACTGATCCTCAATACTCATTTTAGAGCAGCTACATAATAATACACAGTAATTATACCCAAAGGAGATCAGTCGTGTAACTGTGTATGTGTCTGTTCATTTGTCTGTCTGTCTGTAAAATATGAACCACTGGAAACCTTTTATGAAAAAATATAATCATGTAATTGAATGTACATCCGCAACTGATGAGCTTGTGAGGTCAGTTCAGTTTCAAACATCTGTCACTGCTGACCGACTTTACCAAACACACAAAAGGCTGTAACTCCATTTTTTAATAGATATTGAGTTCAGATGACTCATTCCCAACACATACTCCCAAATGCTAGCAAAATATGTAAAATATTTGCCATGCAAGGCAGCGCACATTATGTTTTCCTTCAAACTTTTTACTTGCACATATTTTTCCAAACCTTTTTGTAGGTGTGAAGTCTTGTACGTCTTTACATTGTGTTGCATGCGTGTTTGCGCAGTAGTTGAAGGTCTGGAGTTCGCGGGGGAGCCTCTTATCAGGGAAGAGGTGGAGCTGTCCGGAGACGGGAGGTCAGACACTGGAGGCGACGAAGGACTGGCGGAGGAGGAGAAGGAGAGCAGCCCGAGCACAGCCCAGCAAACTCAGAAGCCTGAGGTGTGTTTGACCAGAGAACTGGCCTCTGCATGGCTGCCCTGCTCAGCACAGCAGGTGGAGCAATTGTTGCATTTTGGAAACGTGTCTCACTTTACCGTTACCTTTCCCTCACCAACAGTTGCAGGAGTTGAGAATTTATGTGATAATGAAAACGCAGGTATTTTCCTGTATCATCAAGTGTGTGAGTGGTGGAGCCAGCACGATGAAGTGCACGTGTTTACAGTTGTCCTTGCACGTCTGTTCATGTGGAATCACAGTCCTTCAAGGTGTCAGACGGTTTAAAAAGAACATTTACATGTCTGTGGCGTCCACAGTTGTTCAAACACCACAGCATCCACCTTATTCCTCGCCCCCATGCTGTTTTATGTGAATTATGGGCACCACTTCCAGCACGGACCAGAACGGGCGTTGTTTACGTGCTTACAGTGCAAGCTGATGTAGTTTCTCTGAGCATTGTGGATTTAAACATATAGGAGCACCACCTGTCAGAGCTCCAACAGGACAATATAATCATACGCTGCCTGCTGAAGACATGGGATGGAGGACGAGCTGATGGAGGACGAGCTGAAGTGGCTACTGTTTACATCTATTAGCATATTTAGCTACATCTACTAGCATATTTAGCTACATCTACTAGCATATTTAGCTACATCTAACGTATTTAGCTACATCTACTAACATTTAGCTGCATCAACTAGCATATTTAGCTACATCTATTAGCATATTTAGCTACATCTAGCATATTTAGCTACATCTAACATATTTAGCTACATCTACTAGCATATTTAGCTACATCTAACATATTTAGCTACATCTAACATATTTAGCTACATCTACTAACATTTAGCTGCATCAACTAGCATATTTAGCTACATCTACTAATATTTAGCTGCATCAACTAGCATATTTAGCTACATATACTAGCATTTTTAGCTACATCTGCTAACATATTTAGCTGTGTCTACTAACATATTTAGCTGTGTCTACTAACATTTAGCTACATCTAA